CCCCCTTCGATTGGGAAGAACTGGGCACGCGTTGTTCACGGACGATCGACGAAGGGAATTGATGCCCCAAGGTTCTCAAAGCCGTTCAGACAACAGCGTCGCGATTCGAGCTCGTGTTCCGAGCACAAAAGGGGATCCAGCCGCAAACAAATCCAGAGAGAAATAGAGAGTGTGTGCGTTGTGTTCCGCAGGCTTCTTCTCCGTTGTTGTTCTTCTTCTTTTCTTCCCATACTAATCGAGAGAACAAGAAAATCATGAACGTTTTTGTGAGTGGTTCGTGGGATGCCGGGGTTCATGGACAAAGTATACCTCGGGCATCCCTCGTCCTTGCACGTCCTTCGGTTCGTTGATCGAATCTGCCACCTTCACTCGGCTTCTCTCTCTCTCTCTCTCTCGCTGTCTCTCCCTTCCCCTTTTTTTTGTCTTTTCTCGATTTCATTTCCTCTTCCTTTCTATCTTTCAAATTATTCTTTTCATTAAACACCTCTCTCTCCCGCCGCCCACTCTACCTACTCTCCCTCGTCCCGTTTTGCTCCCTGACGTGTGTGTTGCGTAAAGAGTGCAACACGCGCGTTGTTCAGACACGAAGAAACGAAGGAGGCAGGGGCACGTTGGAGGTTGTTCGTACAATTATGAGAGACGACCGTCACCGACCGGTTGCCAGAGCCCAGTCGTCCGTGAACGTGGACGCTCGACGGTCTTCTCGATGATCGAGTGTCGTCATGTACTGTAAAACCTTGCCATGCATGACCACGCTAAAGGCTCTTCTTCTTCTGGCTTATATGGTACTTTGTAAGCCTCTCGGTCGTATTACAGTTCCGCTCGCGGTTTTCGCTTCTTTTTCAATAAACGAGATCTTGTCTATCGGGGATATCGAGCGTCTACGGATTAGCTTAGACACCTATCGCTTAATGTAAGTAGCAAAAAGGCGATTCCAAGAGTGAATCGACGTCCTCTATTTTGCCAGGAGGGCCCCTAAAACAGCTTGCACGTCGAACGAACGAACGAGAAAACGGACTGTGTGTAACGTCGACGTTATGAAACAGGATCCCTCGATGATTACAATAATCTTAGATATACTTTCGATGTCGCGTAATGAATTGGTTCTCGGATGTTCGTCAAACTCTGATGAGCGCCGTGAATCTGAACGATCGGATGAAACGACAATGGAAAAGGAGGGGACGAAGAGAAGATTGGTAGGTAATGGTGGGCACATGCGTGCAAATCAGCGCGTATTAAGGTATCGAAGAAAACAATAAATAAGCTCTCTCTCTCTCTCGAAAGCGGAGCTTTTGTGGTTTCGAACCCAACGGTGGACGCGATTTAGACGATCTGAGAGAAGAAGCTTCCGGCGATTCTCGCGGAAGTGTTTTTTAAGAAACGTGTGTGCGTGTGTATGTGTGTGTCGGGCTTTCGTTATCAAGCCAGTCGAACACACTTGGCTGATTTGGAACTGTTCTGTCTTTATTCTTTTTTTTTTTTTAATAGAAACGAATCGCGAAGTTGGATATTTTGCACCTGGTAAAATATAACACGATCAACAGCAGGTCCTAGTTTAGCTGGATCGAGCACGTAGATCGTAGAGTTCCTATAGGCTGAATTATCACAAATCAGTGTAAATCAGCTGCGTTTCACTCGAATCTGACATATATATCTCGAGGACCTTAACCGCGCGGAATGTAACAATCGAGTTTTTCTTGAGACTTGAGAAATATCCTCGCTCTCGCCAAAATGTGTGCAATCAAGTACAAAATGTCGTCGTTGTTATTGTCAGATAATAGAGTGTACTCCACTAGGCGTGAACGTGTGTTTTTGCGGACACAAAATGTGAAAGCGAGAAGAAGTAGGTGGTGGTGGAGGTGTGCGCACATTGGCTACAAGGTGCGCGCGCGCAATCAAGAAATCGGCGGATGTCTCAGTTGCACGACGCGCGATGCAATAAAACGTCCTCTGAAAAACTGGTCGTTCCATCTCGCGGCAAATTAATTTTCAAATAAGAACACCATGGGCTGTCTCTTCGATATGCTGTTTCATTCTTGCGACCTTTTTTTTCTCCCGCTGACTGGGTCCCTCCTCTCCTTTTCTGCGGGGGACACACTGTGTCTCTCCTCCTTTCTCCTCTACCCTTCACTTCGTCTCCTCCCCTTGTTTTCTTTTTCGTCTCGCCCTTTACGCGCCGCGGGAACACGTTCTGGGCAAAAATCTGATCTGCGCAGCCTGATTGGTTGTTATCGCATGAAACTTAATGACTCGCCCTGTTTAAACGAATTTGCGGCACGGTAACAAGCATGTGTGTGCCACCAATATCAGTCGGTTTGCAACAACGACGTGCGTTTTCGTGTTCGTACATACCGGCACCCCATCTGACTATTTTCTATCTGTTCCGTTTTCTTCTATTTTTTTTTTTTTCCTTGTTCGCGACGATCGTGGAAACGTTCGAGGGTTTGCGTTAAGATGCGTTTTTGACGAAATAACACTCCTTTGGCTCCCATTTCCAAGAAATTCAAGTCCAAACGAGCACGAAGAGATGTGTGAAGAATTTTTGGAAGTGGAGAGCCGAACGTGCGTTCGTTCGTTTGGTCTAAACGCTGGAAGAACTGTTCGTCGTCGAATGGAAATAGAAGAAAAACTGAGAAAATTTCAAGCTGGTAATTGTGTGTACAAGTTGATTATAAATGTTTCAAATACCGACCATATATATCATATATATATATACCGATGAATGCGTGTGTGCAACTGACATTCTACACTGAGAAGAAAGCAACCTGGTCTGTAATTAGTTCACCGGAAGTGTCGCGGTTGCAGACACGGGGCGACATAAACGAATCAATTCTGGCTTTCTCGAGTGTGAAATATGGGCGAAACAGTTGCGGCGGCGGCGAGATCCCTACGAAACGACATAGTCGTTCTCAACATTGAAGGAACGTGTTAATTTTGTCAGATACTTGGGCAAAGGCTGCTTTATTAACACATGAAAGTCGTTTGGCGTGCAAGATGATACGTTCAGGGAATGGCATGGTCGTTTTTGCATGGCGTCTATATTATTGTCTGTTTAAGCTACTTGTTATAAATTGCGAGGCTTCTGAAAGACTTGATTTTAATATATGAAAGAATTCTATGTGACAGGTTAGAGGCGGTTGAAAGAAAACTGCTTGAAGAAAGAAAGAAAGAAAGAAGAAAGAGAGGGTTAAATTTTAGAGACATTTCAAACGAATAATCGTTTGCAATCGGGAAGGAGCAGTGAATAATCCTACGAGCTAATTTATGAGAATGATTTAGGAGGATTTTAGAACGATCGTGAAAATTGTTTAGGAAGAAACAATTTTTACATTGAGCTTAACGTTTCTTTTTGTGTAGGTAACATTTTCTATTTTTCTTTAACACAACAATTGTAAAAAAAAAACAAAAAAAAAACGATGTTTGAGTTTTTATAGCTATCATATTGTTACGCATATAAATGTCTATGCAATTTGTGAAGAAAATACAGTTCCTTATACTCCGAGAAATGTCAATCTTGATAATAGCAACGAAGACTGTTAAATTTCTTTATTCATTAAAACATTTATTATCAATTTAAAGCTTCTCTATATTAACGTGGCACTTGTAACCAAGTATGAAATGGGAAAGAACACGAGTTATTTCGATCATTCTGTAATTCAAATAATCCAGGTACAAAGGAAAAGTCACACAAAAGATGTCGAATAGAAAAAAAAAAAAACAAACAACTTCGTTATACAATTAACAAGATACGAGAAATATTCAGTTGTGTATTCTAAAAAAAAAAAAAAAACAGGCTATGATTCTCCTGAAAAGAAAAAGAAGTAAGTTAATAATGCGATTTTGAAAGTTCATTAAACTTCTGATACACACGATTGTATTTTCATACGGCAAGGTGTATATGTTTCGTTATCTTCAGTCTCTTCTTTCTCCATTTAAAAAAAGAAATTCGATAATGTTCTATGCCCAACAGATAAAATTTGAACCAATTAATCATAGAAGGTAAACGAAAAAACGAAAAAAAAAAAAAAAAAAAAATGACCAGTATATCCTGAACTTTTTCCCGAATTGTAAAAGATTTAGAATTATCTACAGAAAATTAATGAATTTTTCACTACTAAAAACCTTAAGTAAAGGATCAAACCATGAATCAATGTCTGTGCTACAATTATGTACATATACAAAATATACCAGATAGAAGTTTATACTGTGATCCATTTATTCTACACTGAAACACCTGTATTAGGTTGGAGCACATGAAAATTTAGACACATTGTGTTTCTTCAAACAATAATGCATTTAGTTAAAATAATTTCCAACATGATTCTATACACTTTTCCCAAGGATTAACTAATTTCATTATTCCAAATATGCAAAAATCATTAGTCTTTGAGTGAAAGAATTCATTGAACACTACTTTTACAGTGTCTTTATTTCAGAATAATTAATTTGTTAAATTATTGTTCAGGTATGTGAAGACATGGCAGTCTATTAGTGAAAGGTCAATGTGGAAAAATTTCATATTCTTCTTAATGTGATTTATCTTTATTTCAGAGTAATTTATTTGTTAAAAAATTATTCAGGTATGTGAAGAAATGGCAGTCTATTGGTGAAAGGTCAATGTGGCAAAATTTCATATTCTTCTTAACATGATTAATAATTTTTCTTAAAACGTTATCATCGACACCTTCCTTTTGGCTCATTTCCAACAAAAAGCCACCAATTGAATTCCTACACCAATATTGAAATCTCCTAAAATTCACATAATCTTCTTCAAATGCTAAATTTATATTTTTATCAATTTCTACACCAGTTGTCTCAAATTTAAATTTATATCAAAAAATCACCAAAATTATTCATCACATCAGATAATAATGTCCAAAGAATTGTATTACAAATTTTTTTTTTACTATTCAATACACGTGTACTACAAACTCTTTTTTAACTGTTGTGTGTAGAAATGTACGATCGGACAAAAT